GGGGGGGGTTGTGCTTTATTTTGTTTTAGGTTGACAATATTTATTTTTTTAAAGATAAAGAGTTTGAAAACTAAGCTACACACGTAAAAACATCAACGCAGGTTCTTCTGAGAATACTTTTCCAATATATAGGGCCTGCCCTACTATTATGTTTGACACGAATTCTCGACCGTTGTTCTTTTTCTGTGACAAGCAACGAGCAATGCTTCCGCAGCTCGGCAAGACGAGGAAATATCTCGCCGAGATCAGCCAAAGAATTTCAAAGTAGGCCCTATTGGATTCATTACTTAGCCTACTCATTTTTCGACAAGTCAGAACCAACGATCGGGAAGAGATCTAGGCTAGATCTAGTTTTGATCTAACAATTGACAGAACACATAGAGGCCCCGGAGTGAAATACATGTACTTAAACCCTTTTCAAGTCATGCTTCTGGTTCGGGCCCATTTTTCTTCCCACGCAGCAGGTAAGGGCCCTATTATGGCGAACACATACAACTAGTTTCGAACTTCAAAGGAAGTATTTTTTCTACTCAATTTCGATCTAGGACCAGCAGGGAAGTAATATATGTCCCTTTTCAAGCGATGAACCCTCTCACCTGGGCCCTCGATCACGGGGCAACTGCCCTAGTTTCCTTACCTGCCCTCGTTGGGACCTCCAGCGTTGACATCAAAAATACCAACAAGATGACAGAAGTCGGCACCCTTGTTTCATGCATCCTCTCCACTGAAGATCTCCTTTTTTCGTCAAAAGCAAACCGTACAAAGTTCTTTCAAACTCATATCCCGAATTCGGAAGCACATAGGAGGAAACACACATTAATCCATGGAATTCCACATATCCAGAAACAACTTTGGAAACTTTCTTCAGATGGCCAGCAGTACACACAACACGACAAGTAGAGTGTCAGCACTTCTCTCTCTCTCTCTCAGTCAGCCACACACGACGAGCAAGGTACACAACCGCACAAACAACACACAACTCGCGACTTCGGTCACATTCGGCACAAGGGTCGGCAACTTCCGGTATTTGCAATCTTCTATTGCGCTGCGTCTGTGTGTGTGTCTGTGTGTGACAGTCACCAAGCTAGACGACGCGCGCACTGCCGCGCACCTCTCTCTCTCTCTCT